AGGACCACAGTGGAGGGAAAGGGAGCAGGAGACAGAGACAGATCCACAGACAGAAATACATAGTAGTGTGAGGAGGGAACCCTGATCTGGGTGAGGGGTGAGCTGATGGGTGGTGGATGGTTAAGTTGTGATGTATTGGCTGCGGATATATATATATATATATATATCTGTTCATCTCCAGGAGGCAGGGAGAGGGAGAGAGAGTTAGAAACATCAATGAGGAAAGACAATCATTTATCCGGACTAGGAATCTAACCATGACCTAACCATGGTTCATAGGTCTAAGCTCAGTCACTGAGTTATGCTGCCTAGGTGTGCCTTTATTTTTTTAATTTAACAGCTGAATTGTATTAGTTATACAGGTTGAATGAGAATTCTAAATCTCCAGTTTGTAAGGCTTGGGAATTTTATAATCATTTCCTTCCAGTTGCAACCTTTATTCACTGAGAGGAGAGAGACTTGTCTGTTGGTCCTGGGTCCCTTGTCATTTCCTGGGATGCCACGAGGAAGTGACCTGTGTCACCATTTGATCCTTTTCTTTCAGGACTATTTAAAGCCTTAGCTTTGTTCCTGTGGGGTGGTGTGTGTTTTGTGGATTTTCTTTTTCTATGTCTGACAATTTATTATTTGAAAACATCCTTAGATAAATCTTCTGGGTCTTCTCAGATCCCCTGAGGAGCTTAAAGAAATGCCCTCAGGTGCACTTTTCCCCATAGAGTTGGACAGCTGCTCTGGGTGGGGCATCCTTGGTTACTGAGGTGCTCCAGGTGATGGAAGGTGAGGACGGGGATAGCAGGAGGGGTGCAGGATGCCTTTGTGAGAGTGGGGAGCAGGCTTTGTTCGGGGGACGTAAGGGGGTGCTCTGTTTGGTTTCCGGCGTCAGGACTGCAGCTCACGCTCTCATTTCTGTAGGAGTTTGTGGGTGTCTTTGGGAGGAGAGACCCATGAAGACGAAATAAAATACCTCACAGTGTGGTCTCCATGTAGGGGCTCATTGTTCCTGTCTCTCCTGTGACTGAAGACAAGAGGGTTGGCCTTTTCCTCATTTCCAGGTCCTTCTGACTGTGAGTGAGATGAGCTGATTAACAGGCTGTGCTGACATCTTAGAAGGCACATTCTGTGACTCCTCAACATAGTGTCACCTGAGAAAACACCTCACACCCTGATCAGGACCAGGACCAAATGGCTGCTTCTCAGGTAAAAGATGTGTCCTGGGGCACAGGCTATGTTTCCTTTTCCTCTGACATCTGGTGATTTATTTCTCTACTCTGATGTTCTTGTTTTTGCAGGTTGTTTTTCTTTCCTTATTTTATTACTTTATTCAACACAGTCAATGTCAGCACTTTCTATATTTCTCTTTTTTGTGTGTTTTTCTCTTTTTCCCTTCTTTTCAATATATATTTTTAATTGCTTTCAGAATGGAAAGGAGATGGAGAGAGAGATAGAAACATCAATTAGGTAGGGAATCATGGGGCAGCTGCCTCCTGCATGCACTGGGTATGGAGTTTGAAGCCTGGAATGTGCCCTGATGAGGAACCTAAGCCTGCCCTCCTGGTTCATAGGTCAGCCGTCTACTTCTCAGCCACACTGTCCGGGTTATACTCCCCTCCATTTTTCCAGAGCCTTGTCTGCATGCATTTTATGGTTGTAAATTTGTGAGGTTGTAAATCCTCCCGTGAGAAGATATTTTCTTACCTATTTTCCATTAACTTTTCAAGAGTGGAAGTCAGGGAAGTAGGGGCAGAAAAAGGAAAGGGAGAGAGAGGGAAAGGGGAGAGGGAGGGGGAGGGGAAGTGGGAAAGGGAGGGGTAGAGGAAGCATTCAGGAAGCATTCCTACCTTTAATCAGTGACTTTCAACTACTGAAAATGTGCCTTTGGTGACAGATCAAACTTGGAAGGCAGCCATGTCTAACATCCCTATTGGGATGGTGTCAGAGGCTGGAAATGTCCCTCTTATTAGAGGCTGAGGTATCAGTGAAGAAAGCAAATGCAGGTTTTAGTTTCATGTGGCTGCAGCATCAGCTATAGATCAGGGGTAAGAAGCTGCACATCTGACTGCTCATAATAGCTCAGAAAGTTCTGGAAAAAAGGGCAAATAGAAGAGACTTGCTCATTATTGTAGTAGGAGAGACTTGGTAGGTAAATGCACTGTTAGCTTACAGAACATGAGAGGCACAGGTGGATTGGCACTTGCCAAAACAAATGTTTATTTGTGATCATTTCCACGTATTTACTTATTGAGGTATTTTTGGCAGTAATGTCACAGCAGTGGTGACCTGACCTTCCATGTGCCTCAGTCACTTGATGCCCATTGTCTCAGTCCACCTGATGATCACGTGGCACAGGTGCTCCCCTCACTGTAGAGTTAATAGTTGTAAGGTCCAGGTGGATACGGGGCGCCAAGGGAACCCAAAACACAAACTGGACATTGGCAAGGGACTTTCCAGCTCCACCAAAACATCCCGTTTCCAGCCCAACTGCAAAACTGCTACAAAACATTCTGGTAGCGACCGGCAAAACGACAACAAACCTGCCCATATAATCTTCCCCACTCCCCCCTATTGTGTTGTGACTCCCCCCGGCCTGTGATCGCAGACCACGGGACCCTCACCCCGAGAGCATCTGCCTCTTGAAATAAACAGTGCACTCTGCTTTTTAATTTGGACTCTGGTGCCTTTTCTTCGGTCAAACGTTACATCTTGGTGCCTAAACCCGGGAGACCTTCGTAACACTGGGCTGCATCTCCTCTGAGAACCAGAAACTGACACTCTGGTGGAATCGGAAGTTGCAGGAGGTCCCAGGGGCCCCCTGAGGATCAGCCTCTCCGACTAAAGGCTTTA